CCAAAACGCCTCAAATCACCTCAAAATTGCCCAAATCTCCCTCAGATCACCTCAGAAGATGTCAATTTACCACAGAAAATATGGGAAAAACATCCAAAACGGAGCCAAATCCCCTCAAAAGAGGCCAAATTACTGAAAACAACCCCCAGAAAACCCAAATTGCCTCAGAGCCCCCCGTTTCCCGCAGAAGACCCCAAAATAGCACAAAATGCCCCTGAATTGCCTCAAAACCCCTCAAATCACCCTAAAAGACCCCCACTTTACCTCATAAAACGAAAGGAAAAGCTTCCAAAACGCTTCAAATGACCTCAAAATTGCCCAAATCTCCCTCAGATCACCTTAGAAGATGTCGATTTACCACAGAAAAGAAAAGGAAAACATCCAAAACGGAGCCAAATCCCCTCAAAAGAGGCCAAATTAATAAAAATACCCCTAGAAAACCCCAAATTGCCTCAGAGCCCCCCGTTTCCCGCAGAAGACCCCAAAATAGCACAAAATGCCTCCAAATCACCTCAAAACCCCTCAAATCACCCTAAAAGACCCCCAGTTTACCTCATAAAACAAAAGAAAAAGCTTCCAAAACACCTCAAATTACCTCAAAATTGCCCAAATCTCCCTCAGACCACCTCAGAAGATGTCAATGTACCACAGAAAAAAAGGGGAAAAATATCCAAAACGGAGCCAAATCCCCTCAAAAGAGGCCAAATTACTGAAAACAACCCCCAGAAAAACCCAAATTGCCTCATTTCCCATAGAAGACCCCAAAATAGCACAAAATGCCTCCGAATTGCCTCAAAACCCCTCAAATCTCCCTAAAAGCCCCCCAGYTTACCTCATGAAATGAAAGGAAAACCTTCCAAAACGCCTCAAAACGCCTCAAAATTGCCCAAATCTCCTTCCTTGGGCAGCTCCTCAGAGCGCCAGGCGCCGGCGCCACCGTGAGGCCCCGAGTGCCGCCAAACTGCCCCCAAATCCGCCCCGATCGCCCCCAAAATTGACACCCACACCCCCGGGTGTCCCCCCCACGCACCCCCCRAATAAACACCCGTTTTGGGGGTGTTTTTGTCACCCGCGGAGCAGGACGTGAAGCTGCCGGACGCCTACGAGCGCCTCATCCTCGACGTCTTCTGCGGCAACCAGATGCACTTCGTGCGCAGGTGGGGGGTCCCTGGTGGCTTTTGGGGGCCCCTGGTGGCTTTTGGGGGTCTCAGGCAGTTGTTGGGGCTCCCCGGTGGCTGTTGGAGGTCCTGGGGGTTGTTGGGGGTCCCCAGCAGCTTTTGGGAGTCCTGGGTRGTTGTTGGGGGTCCCGAGGAGGTTCTTGGGGCCCTGGGGTGGTTCTGGGGGTCCCTAGCGGTTGTTGGGTGTCCCAATGGTTTATTGGGGGTCCCAGGGAGTTGTTGGGGGTCCCGGGGGGTTGTGGGTGCCGCGGTGACGCCGTG